GCAGGACACTGTGCGAGGTGTGTACATGGGTTATTTCATCAAACCTCACGCTAGCCCACTAGGCTGGGATTGTCATTTCCATTTGGCAGGTGGGGAAAGCGATGTTCAGCTTCAGTCACTTGCCTGCACCGCACAGCTGGCAGCAGAGAGAGAAGGACTGAGACCCAGGTCTGTGTGATTTGGGTGGGGGGGCAACATTTGCTAAAAGGGACAGGGCTTGAGGAACAGCTTGGAGTTACGGTTCTTGGTCTTATTTTGAGTCACAGACCTCTTTGAGGGCAGGAGTTTTAAACCTAGGGAACCTATGGGTGGCTTTTGGGGACCCAAGAACCTCCTGAAACTATCCACAAATCCACCTTGTGTGTATATTTTTCTGAAGAGAAAATCCAGAACTTTCTATCCATTCTCTAAGGGTCTCTGTCAAAAGGTTTTAGCCATTGTTCTAAGAAGTCCACAACCAGGAAGAGGAGAGGACTCAAAAAAACTTTAGATGGGCTGGGTGTAGTGGCTCACACCTGTAATCCCAGCACTTTGGGAGGCCAAGGCAGGTGGATCATGAGGACAGGAGTTCGAGACCAACCTGGCCAATGTGGCAAAGCTGCATCTCTACTAAAATACAAAAATTAGCTGGGCGTGGTAGCACACACTTATAATCCCAGCTACTCCAGAGGCTGAGGCAGGAGAATCGCTTGAACCCAGGAGGTGGAGGTTGCAGTGACCCAAGATCACGTCACTGCGCTCCAACCTGGGCAACAGAGGCAAACTCTGTCCAAATATATATATAATATACATAACATATATAAATATACATATAATATATATAACATATATACATATATAAAATAATATATATGTATATTATATGTAAAATATATATGTGTATTATATATATAATATATATGTATATTATATATATATAAAATACCTATATATTAAGACCAGCTGTAGAGGCAAGAGGATTGCTTAAGGCTCGGAGTTTGAGACCAACCTGGGTAACAAAGTGAGACCCCCATCTCTACAAAAAACATTGAAACTAGCTAGGTATGACGGCTCATGCCTATAAGTCCTAGCTCCTTAGGAGGCTGGAGTGGGAGGGTTGATGGAGCCCAGGAGGTTGAGGCTTCAGTGAGCCTGTGATTGTGCCCCTGCACTCCAGCCCGGGTGACATAATGAGGAAGAAAGAAAAGAGAAGCTTAGAAGGAGTAAACGAAGTAGATTAGAAAATTACAAAGCAGGCAGGGCACGGTGGCTCACGCCTGTAATCCCAACACTTTGGGAGGTCAAAGCGGGCAGATCACAAAGTCAGGAGTTCGAGAACAGCCTGGCCAATGTGGTGAAACCGTCTATACTAAAAATACAAAAATGAGCCGGGCGTGGTGGTGTGTACCTGTAGTCCCAGCTACTCGGGGGGCTGAGACAGAAGAATCACCTGAATCTGGGAGGTGGAGGTTGCAGTGAGCCAAGATTGTGCCACTGCACTCCAGCCTGGATGACAGAGCAAGACTCCATCTCAAAGAAAAAGAAAAAAGAAAATTACAAAGCAGAAACAAAGAAAAAAGTAAAAGTGTAAGACAGTCCAGGGATCGTTTTTAATAAATGGTTTAAAGGGAATGAAATGTTTAAAAAAATGAAGTAGAAAATTTATTCTGTGAGTAACTTGGAAATTGTCATTAGAAAAACAGTAAAATTCAGGCCCAGTGCAGTGGCTCACACCTATAATCCCAGCAGTTTGGGAGGTCAATGTGGGTAGATCATTAGAGCCCAGGAGTTCAAGACCAGCCCAGGCACCATGGTGAAACCCCTACCCTATAAAACATGCAAAAATTAGCCAGGCACGGTAGCACATGCCTATGGTCCCAGCTACCTAGAAGGCTGAGGTGGGAGGATCACCTGAGCCCAGGAGGGCAAGGCTGCAGTGAGCTGTGATCGTGCCACTGTACTCCAGCCTGGATGGCAGAGTGAGACTCTGTCCCAAAAAGAAAAATAAAAGAAAAACAGTAAAAGTCATTGTTATACCCTGTAGCTGGTTTTCATTAGATTATGTATAATTTCAGGCAATAATGTATATGGTTCTGTGAAAATCAAATGCATAGTGGCCAGTTTGAAAGTGCTCTCACCTATATCCCTCTTGGAACTTCACAACAGTCCCTATGCTGAGAGAGTCTGAAACAGCCCCAAGATTGCCACCGAAAGCAGAGTGGCTAGAAATGATGAAAGAGGAACTATTTTATGACTTCGCATTCTACTTTAGTCACATTAAAAAGAGAAGCCAGCAAAGGGATTTCTGTTAAAACCCCTACCCAGGTGGAAGTAACTTTTTCAGAAACCAGGAGAGGCAACTTGCAAGAGAGCATCTTGAAGAATGATTAGAAAATGTCAGAATGGATGATTTCATTTGAGGAAGGAAAGTCAATGATAGGTGTGTTCTGTTTTTAAAATCACAAGAAATAAAATCATTGCTTATTTAGGACATGATGAGAACTGCATAATGTAAGTGGTTGTATGAGGCCAGGCATGGTGGCTCACACCTGTGATTTCAGCACTTTGGGAGGCTGAGGCAGGAGAATCACCTGAGGTCAGAGGTTCGAGACCAGCCTGGCTAACATGGTGGCCAGGTGCAGTGGCTCATGCCTGTAATCCCAGCACCTTGGGAGGCCGAGGTGGATGGATCATGAGGTCAGGCGATCAAGACCATCCTGGCTAACACACTGAAACCCCATCTCTACTAAAAATACAAAAACTTAGCAGGGCGTGGTGGCACGTGCCTGTAGTCCCAGCTACTCAGAAAGCTGAGGCAGGAGAATTGCTTGACCAGGAAGCAGAGGTTGCAGTGAGCCAAGACTGTGCCACCGTACTCCAGGCTGGGTGACAGAGCGGGACTCCATCTCAAATAAATAAATAGTAAATAAATAAATAACGTGGTGAAACCCCTCTCTACTAAAAATACAAAAATTAGCCGGGTGAGATGGCATGCATCTGTGGTCTCAACTGCTCAGGAGGCTGAGGCAGGAGAATCACTTGAACCTTCGAGGCAGAGGTTGCAGTGAGCCAGGATCGCACCATTGCACTCTAGCCTGGGCCACAAAGCGAGACTCATCTCAATAAATATATAAATAAATATAAATAAAATAAAATAAATGGTTGTCGATGTGAGAATAAGGACCAAGTAAGAATGTCACACACACACACACACACACACACACACACACACACACACACACACACACCATCCCTGCCTACCTATCCGTAGGTAGGTAGAGGTAGGGGGGTAGGTGCTCCCTGCACTGGCCCAGAGAGTGATGGACTCGCAGACTCAAAACCTGTGATGATGAATTGGGGTCTCCCTGCCCCCACCTACTCCACCAGTGTCACGGACTACCCCCCACCAAATATATCTGGAGAATGGCAGCCCTTCCCTCAGCCAAATACAAAGACTCGGTTAGGGAGTGGAGGTCAGGTCCACCCTGGGAAAGCTGGGCTTTCTCTAATCCTGGCTCTTTTGGGCCCAGAAGGTTCTGCTGTTTGGGGTGGTGCCAACCATGCTTCCGACAGTTACAGCTGACTCATGCATGAGCAGGGAGGGGATTCTCTATCCTCCTCACTCTCTCTGTCTTCCCTTCCTGGTGAGAAAGTGGTCTTTTATCATAAAATATGTCATAAATACAGCATTCCAATTATGCCATGAAAGGAGATTAACATCAGCAAGTTGATCTCAGCAAGGCGACGATTTGCTTCTCTGGAGGATAGCCTACTTCTTTTTTTTTTTTTTTTTTTTTTTTTTTTTTTTGAGAAGCAGTCTCGCTCTGTTGCCGAGGTTGGAGTGCAGTGGCGTGATCTCAGCTCCCTCCTACCTCCACCTCCCAGGTTCAGGCGATTCTCCTGCCCCAGCCTCCCAAGTAGCTGGGGCTACGCGCCCGGCTAATTGCTGCTTTATTTTTAGTAAAGACCAGATTTGCCATGTTGTCCAGGCTGGTCTCGAACTCCTGACCTCAAGTGATCCACCCACTTCGGCCTCCCAAAATGCTGGGATGACAGGCTGGATGTTCTACTTTGATCCCAGATCAGCAGCTGTGCCCAGTGCCAAGAGGGTGCTAGACCCCGTGGGACACACAGGAGGAAGAAGTTTCACAGGCGGCAGGAGAGCCCAGGCAGAGACTGATGATGAGGGGAAAACCCGAACAGAAAAACTTCAGGACACCCGCTGCAGCTGCCTGTGTAAACCTGAAAGTTGAAGTGATGGGGAAGATACAGAATGGCTTTGGCTTTTTCTCTGGGTCCTGCTGGTCTGTGGTCTGCCGACGGTAACCCCTCCTCACCTTCTAGCGCAGCTGGGATGTATCTTTCAGAGGCTGCTGGGTTTGGCGGAAGATCGAAACCATTTGCCTGGACGTTCCCCTTCCTGTGTGATCGGCCTCATCTGTCTGAAACCCTGCTGACCCCAGCTTATCTGGTGTGGGAACAAATGGCCCGGGAGTCTCTGCATCCTCTTCAGAGTGACCTGCGTGTGTCCCCTATCCCTGCCCCCACCAGCCCCAGGCTGACCTCCACCTGGCCCTCAACTGCATGGGCCCTGATGAGGTACATTCCTTTTGAATCCAGGCCCTCCCTGTCATTTGGAAAATTGCTGGAAATAGCTTGCTTTCCAAAAGGAGGTAGTGAGAAATGGATTCGGGAGTTTCTTAAATCCAGTTGTAAAGATTTGGAGGAATGAGGAAGTTAAGAGCATGGTGAGGAAGGGGTTAGGAGAGTGCATGGAGAGGAAACCACTATCCCCCCACCTTTCAAAGCGAGGAAGAGTCATGAATACCATTGTAGTCACGTCCACGGTGTACAGAGCATAGCCACAGATCCCACAGCGTGATTTGCGGAGACTTCAGATCCAACAATGAAATAGATAATGAGCTAAAGAGGAAGAAAACCGGACAGAAAAAGAGTGTCAGTTTAGAAAGGGAATGTTCACACTCCAAACAGGTTTTGTTAAGAAATGTGGCTGTTTTTCCGTGCTCACTTCAGCAGCACATACACTAAAATTGGAACGATGTGGAGATCAGCACGGCCCCTGCACAAGGATGACGGGCCAATTCGTGAAGCCTTCCGTATTTTCTTCCTTTTTCTGATGTCCAAGACTGTGGAGAAACTGAGGCTCCTGTAACTGAAGTCACTGACCCCGTTAAGGAATGTTCCTACTTCCAACCCCATTTCCACCTCCTCCTCCAAAAAAAATTTAAAAAAAAAAAGAAATGTAGCATTTTTTTTTTTTTTTTTTAGACAGAGTCTCACTCTCTTGCCCAGGCTGGAGTGCAGTGGCACTATCTTGGCTCACTGCAACCTCCACCTCCAGATCCAAGCAATTCTCCTGTCTCAGCCTCCCAAGTAGCTGGGCCTACAGGCACTCGCCACCACACCCACCTAATTTTTTTTGTATTTTTAGTAGAGATGGGGTTTTACCATGTTGTCCAGGATGGTCTTGAACTCCTGACCTCAAGTGATCCCCCATGCCTTGGCCTTCCAAAGTGCTGGGATTACAGGCGTGAGCCTCCATGGCCAGGCAGGAATATAGTATTATTAATGTTTTCTTCCTTTAAGTAAGACAGGAGAGCCGAATAAAAATGTTCCAGGTAGGTCTCAGCTACAAACGATTAAGGATGGCAGCTGTCTCTTTAAAAAAAAAAAAAAAAGGCCAGGTGTGGAGGCTCACGCCTGTAATCCCAGCACTTTGGGAGGCCAAGGCAGGTGGATCACCTGAGGTCAGGAGTTCAAGACTAGCCGGGCCAACATTGTGAAACCCCATCTCCACTAAAAATACAAAATTATTCAGGCATGGTGGTATACACCTGTAATCCCAGCTACTTTGGAGGCTGAGGCAGGAGAGTCACTTGAACCTGGGAGGCGGAGGTCGCAGTGAGCAGAGATCATGCCACTGCGCTCCCCCCGGGGAAACAAGAGTAAAACTCTGTCTCAACAAATACATACATACATACAAACATACATACATACATTAAAAAACCAGGTGAGCATGGTGGCATGTACCTGCAGTCCCAGTACTACAGGATACTAACATGAGCGGATCACTTGTGCCCAGAAGGTTGAGGCTACAGTTGAACCACTGCACTTCCAGCCTGGGTCGCAGCAAGACTTTGCCTGTCTAAAAGAAAAAAAAGAAAAAAAAAGAGGCCAGGTGTGGTGGCTCACACCTGTAATCCAGCACTTTGGGAGGCTGAAGCGGACAGATGACCTGAGGTTAGGAGTTTGAGACCAGCCCGGCCAACATGGCAAAACCTCGACTCTACTAAAAATACAAAAATTAGCCAGGCATGGTAGTGTGGGCCTACTTGGGAGGCTGAGGCAGGAGAATTGCTTGAACCTGGGAGGCGGAGGTTGCAGTGAGCTGAGATGGTGCCACTACACTCCAGCCTGGGTGACAGAGCAAGACTCTGTTTAAAGAAAGAAAGAAAAGAAAGAGAGAGAGAGAGAGGGAGAGAGAGAAGAAAGAAAGAAAAGAAGAGAGAGAGACAAAGAAAAAGAAAGAAAAGAAAAGAAAAAAGGATGGCAGCTTGTTTCAAGAGAAGCAGAGAAGACTTATTTGGGAAATTCATTAATGTCAGTTTTTTTTTCTCTAATTACTACACTTTATTATTTAGAGCTATTTTAGGTTTATGGGAAAATTGAGCAGAAAATACAGAGCGCTCCCGTATTAACCCCCCTCCCATCACAGTTTCCTCTGTTACTGAAGGCCTGGCTTGCCCAGTGTGGGACGTTTGTTACAACTGATGAAGCAATTTGACACATCATTGTTCACTCAAGCCATAGTTTACACTGGAATTCATTCTCTGTGTTGTAATTTATGGACTTTTTAACCTAAAACTAAATCTCTTTTCATAGGATAGATTATAAGTAGATGAAGAGACTCAAAAATTTATATAATCCCAAAAAAAGCATGGATAAGATAGATTTTTTAAAGCCCTTTAAGAGTCCCTTCTGATGGCAGGACTCTTGGGTTCTAGAATGACTTGGAGCTCTCAAGAACAACAGTTTAGAAACTAGGCATGACAAAGGGTGGTCAACTCTTTCAGTCCAGGTTATAAAGTATCCTTAAAAATATTTTGCACTTAGTACCACTGAATTACACACTTAAAAATGGTTAAAATGGGCTGGATGTGGTGGCTCATACCTGTAATCCCAGCACTTTGGGAGGCTGAGGTGGGAGGATAACTTGAGCTAGGAGTTCAAAACCAGCCTTGACAACATAGCAAGACCTTGTCCCCACAAAAAATAAAAATAAAAAAATTAGCCAGGTGTGGTCCACCTGGACTAATTTTTCAGGAGGCTGAGGTGGGAGGATTACTTGAGCCTGGGAGGTGGAGGCTATAGTGAGGTGAACCATGACCGCATAACTGCACTCCAGCCTGGGCGACAAAACAAGACCCAATCTCAAAAATAAAAGGTTAAAATGGTCAACTTTATGTTATGTACATTTTACCATAAGAAAAAAAAAAAAACGTTTTACAGAAGAATTACCCAAGAGAGCTCATCCACAGTGGTGTGACCCAATCAGCTGTGTGGAAACCAATTTCCAGGGCAGGAAGCTGTGAAATCGTCATTTCTGAATAAGCAAGATGAACGCCTGTGAGAGGGCTCGTTAGCAAGTCATGCTTCAGCTGACCTAGTAACATCAGCTTTTAAAACAGTGATACTATAAGCATGGCTTCTATTCAGATACAGGCTCCCTTACAGAAGCAAGGTGGAAAAGGCTCCTGTGAAGGTTGCTTCCCTGCCCTCCTGACATCTCTCAGGCCAGCCATCAGCAGTGAGCCCTCCCACAAGGCCATCCACTTGCTCAGGATCCACTGGGAAGGCAGCTGTCCTCTGGGATGATCCTGGTGCCATATTGGAAGAAGTCCATCTGTGGAGGCTGTCAGAGATTTGATCACCTCAGCCATTGTTCAGCTGAGCCTCTGGGGGCTGGGGGTTTCCATGCTGTTGGTGTTGGCAATGACGTAATCCTGGCCCTAACTCATCCTTGTGCTTCTCCATAGACACACACCAAGTACTAGGCGGTGCCATTCTGTCCCCCACGACTATATGATGAGTCTTCTCAAAGGCCACTAAGAGGACTCACCATGCAGAGCTTCATTCTTGAAACTCTAAGCTGGAACCCTGAAACCTTGGTTTCTCTTCAGCTACCATGAGGCTGAAATTAACCATAGCCTTCCCAGGGACTGGTTTCTCCTCAAAGAGTTTTAACTTACAAACAGGCCCAAAGGTTTAAAAAACACTAATATTTGTCACTAAATTAAATCATGCCAGTGAAAGTGCCTAGAATAGTGCCTGCTCATAGCTGGTACGTGGGATATTGTTTTGTGCCTCCGTGTACTCCAGATGTACTTCTAGATGTACCTCTAGCAAATCAGGTAACTTGGCCAGGCGTGGTGGCTCACTCCTGTAATCTCAGCACTTTGGGAGGCGGAGGGTGGCGGATCACAAGGTCAGGAGTTTGAGACCAGCCTGGCCAACGTAGTGAAACCCCATCTCTACTAAAAAAAGCAAATATTAGCTGGGCATGGTGGTGGGTGCCTGTAATCCCAGCTACTTGGGAGGCTGAGGCAGGAGAATTGCTTGAACTGGGAAGGTGGAGTTTGCAGTGAGCCAAGATTGTATCACTGCACTCCAGCCTAGGTGACAGTGCAAGGCTCTGTCTCAAAAACAAAAAAGACGAGAGAGAGAGAGAGAGAGAAAGGAAAGAAGGAAAAGAAAATCAGATAACTTGCAGTCGTTAAGCCACTTCCATATCCTGGGCTTTGATCAGGGAGAACAACTAAAAGATAAATTACAATTATAAACTGTGGGCGGGGACAGTGGCTTACACCTGTAATCCCAGCACTCTGGGAGGCCAAGGTAGGAGGATCATTGATCATTTGCGGAGCTCAAGACCATCCTGGTCAAGAGAGTGAGACCCTGTTTCTGAAAAAGAAAAAAAAGTCCACTGTGATTATGAGAAATGCTCAAGTAACAGCATTAAGGGTGTTGCACAATTTGTGTTCCCTTTTTTAGCACTCAATTTTTTTTTCCCAAGTCAGGGTCTCGTTCCATTGTCCAGGCTGGAGTGCAGTGGTGCAATCATAGCTCAGTGTAGCCTCAACCTCCTGGCCTCAAGCAATCCTCCCACCTTGGCCTCCCAACGCACTGGGATTACAGGCATGACACACTCCATCTGGAGACCCTCAGTCTTCTGCTCTTGCCTCTGAGTATTCTACTGCTTGAAAGCATTGGTTCTCACAGTACCCAAGTCAGCATCCCAGTCCCGATGAGAGTCCCGAGGTCCACTTGTGTTCTAAATGCAGGTGGCCTGTTTCCACTTCCATGTCCCGCCATCATCTCCAACCCAAATGGCCTAAACACAAATAGCCAATCTCAGGATAACTTACCCCTACTTTGACTTCCTCCACAGGCCAGGGTTAGTCTCCAGGTAACCTCACATGAAGTCTCCAAGGACCTTCGATTTCTTTGTTTCCTGGTGGCTAAAGCCTTGAGTGTCCTCCCTAGCACTGCTCTGTCCACATAGACCTTGGGGATGGGACTAGGTGAGACTAGTGAGGTGCTCAGGGCAGGGGTGTCCGCTGAGAGTGGGGCCTCCTGACACTTTGCTTCCCACCTTACTCTTCCTGTTGACCCTTCCTTTCCACTCCCAGGGCCACAAGCCAGGCTCCTGAGCTGATTCTTACCGTGACTTTCCAGATGGGTGTCCCATTTCCATCCTTTCCCTTTAGACCAAGGACATCTCTACTGCTGGCTTCTTCCAGCGTCATTCTCCTAGGCAAAATGGCCTCTCCCTATATTTCCAGAACACCATGAAGCCACTTCTCTCCCAGGATTGTGGATTTGGGGGTTTGTTTGATTGGTTTTCTTGGGGGTATAGGGGAGACAGGGTCTCATTCTGTCACCCAGGCTGCAGTGCAGTGGCACTATCACAGCCCATCTCAGCCTTGACCTCTGGAGCTCAAGAAATCCTCCCACTTCAGCCTCCTAAGTAGCTGAGACTACAGGTGTGCGCCACCACACCCAGCTAACTTTTTATTTTTTGTAGACACCGATTCACTCCATTTT